AGTTTGGAAGACCAATTGACTATCAGGTGGAGACTGGATAAAGAAGATGTGATTTTTCTATAAAATTGAATACTACTCAGCCAGAAAGAATGAAAGACCAGAGTCATTCATAGGAAAATGGATGCATATTGAGGCCTTATTCTTGAGTAAAATAAATAAGGAACACATGTGTTAATACCAAATAGTTTCTCTGGTGTGAAAAGCTAAAAGTATAAATAAGATCCAAATTGAATAACTGACAGTGGGAAATAGGAATAAAAGAGCTAAAGGTGTAGGAAAGTGAAAAGGGTAGGAGAATGAAAATAAGGGAAAGAAAAAATATGAGAAAAATGGAAACAGAGTCTTTGTAAATAGGGCAGGGTAGAGGGGGTAAAGGGAAGGCAGTGATATGGGGAAAAATTGAGAACCAAGATCTGTCATGTAAAGGTACATGATCCCAATGATAAATGTAACTGTACTGTATACTGAAAAAGTGCCAATAAACTCAATGAAAAAATTATAAAAAGAAAAAAAGTCACTAATACCACAGAAATACAAAGCACTGTTCAGTACGATTTCTAAGGCATTTATCAACAAATTGAATAAAATTGAAGAAATGAGCAAATTTCTGGACGTGTGAATTGTGAAGAAATAAAAATTTGAACAGAAGAGTAATATAAAAAAATAGACTTAATTTAATAATTCTTCTGCCAAAAAGAAAAAAAAAGTACTCATGGTTTCATTGTTTAATTTTCCCAAACATGTAAGAAAAATGCTAAAATGTAAATCATCTCAACTATTGAAGAAACATGAGATATAATGAGTAATTTTAAGTTGATCTTATGAATCCAGAATTTCCCTAACACCAAAGCAGAACAGCAACTAGAAATAATTTACAGGACAATGCCCCTCATATGCATAGATGTAAAAATCCTCCACATGACATGAGCAAACTAAATTTCATAACATATAAAAACATCATTGAACATGATCTAGTCAGATCCATCCCAAGAATGCAAGATGTGTCATAATGAAATGCAACAAATATAATGTATCACAATAACAAAATAAAAGACAAATACATGTTATCACATTAGTAGCAGCAAAACTTTTGGACAAGATTTAGTATTCTTTATGATAAAAATTTTGCAAAGCATAGATCTTGAATAAATGTGTCCCAGAATTCATGAGTTAATCTTAAAAATGGCCTTTATGTCTTTGAGGGTATAAAGAAAATGTCTAGTTATATACAATGACATAATACTCAGCCACGAAGAAAGATAAACATGGGTCATTTGTAGGAAAATGGATGCACCTTAAATCATAATGTTAAGTGAAATAAATCAGACATTCAAACTTAGGTGTCACATGGTCTATCTTATATGAGACTTCCAAAATATAAAGAAAGAGCAAAATCAAAGGAAGATAGTAAGAAATAATGACATAGATCTTTTTCAAATGGGAAGAGTACCAAGAAATGGACAGAACTGTCAGGGAAGGAAGTAAGGACAAAGGGATGAGAAACTAATGGAAATGTTATTATACATGTACAGCAACCCCCCAAGAGGAAGATAATCAGTATATATTGAAAACTAACACTAATATAATTTAAAATTAAAAATATAAAAACTGAAGAAATACAACCCAACACAAGAGACCTAAGAATTGATATATGATCTACCCATAAATATCATCATACAACACTTGGCTAGATGAAATCCACAGTGTTCTACCTAAAATCTGGAACAAGACATGTATGTCTATTCTTATCATCACTAACCAAAATGGTACTAAAAGTCCCAGGAAGAGGTTTATGAATAGAAAAAAAAAGCATCCATCTAAATTAGATTGACTGAAGCTAAATAGTACTTCTATGTAGATTACATGTTCTTTTATGCAGAAAATCCGAATGAGTAACCCTAACCTATTATAAATAATGAATGAAATAAAGTTACTAGACACACAAATCATTATTCCCACATCAATATGTGTCTAAACACCAACCATGTGAAAGAAACTGAAATCAAGAAAACAATTCCATTTATAATAGTTATAAAAAATCACAGAAATATTTTAACCAAGAAAATAGAATATCTGTACATTGATAACTACAAAACATTGATGAAAGCAACTGAAGTAACAAAAAAGTAGAAGGATATTACCAACTCATGGATCAGAAGAATTAAAATTGCCAGAGTGAATACCTACTAATGTTGATTGATGGATCCTATTCAGTCTCCAACAAAACATTAATGATAAACTCCACAGAAAATCTCAAAAATACTAAAATTTTAAGAAGGGACAAAAGCTTCAAAGCAGCCTTGATAAAGAAAGCAAGAAGCATTGCATTATGGATTTTAAAATATGTTACAAAAGCCTGGGGCTTTAGCTCAGTGGTAGACCATTTGCCTAGTCTACACAGGGCTGTAATACTATATACCAATTTTTTAAAACTAAAAAGAAGGATTCAAACAGTATGAGGACATGAGGAAAAATAAACTCTACAACATTGTTGGGAGAAAAGCAGTCTTGTACAATCATTGTGGAAGTCAGTAGGTAGACTCCTGAAACAACTAAATAGAAAGTC